GGGAGACTCCCCGGGCGTCGGCCTCTCCCGTCCATTTGGCTGCAGCCTGGGGGCCCACGCGGGGTGGGCCAGGACGGGCTGCTGGTCTGACTTTGCTGAGGCCGCCCCGCGAGGAAGCAAGACCTGCGGCTCCCACCCCCACCTCATCTCCGAAACCCATGGCCTCCCTCTCGCTCCCCCTTCCCGGAGCCGGGGCCCTGAGCAGGGGGTCCTGGCGGAGGAGGCTGCGCCGTGGGCCAGGGCTCTCCGAGGAGAAGCGCAGGCAGCCGCCGCCTCCGCTCTGTCTCGCTGTGGACTCCCGCTCAGGCTCTGAGGCCCACCCAGGTCACGGCCTCTCTCCATCCCCCCTGCTCCCAGCCCTGCAAGACCGGAGCCAGTGTTTTATGCTCTTCTCCGTGCTCTTCCGTGCTTGTTTCCGGGCCCAGACGGCGCCCTCTCTGAGCACAAGGACTGTGGACCCAGAACGGCACATAGGAGGTGCTTTCAAACACACCAAGTAGGTGCCCTGGCTGGTGTGGCTCAGTTGGTTGGGCATCTTCCTGGGCACCGAGAGGTCACTGGTTTGATTCCAGGTCAGGGCACATGCCTGGGTTGTGGGCTCCATCCCCAGTAGGGGGCGTGCAGGAGGCAACCCATTGATATTAATGCTTCTCTCTCATCGATGTTTCTTCCTCTCACTTCCTCTTCCTCTCTAAATAAATAAATAAATAAACAAACAAACAAATAGACACACACACACACACACACACATATATATTTTTTAAAAATCAAGTAGGAATGCCGAATTGGGTTTGGCTCAGTAGATAGAGTGTCAGCCTGCAGACGGAGAGGTCCCGGGTTCAATTCTGGTCAAGAGCATGTACCTTGGTTGCAGGCACATCCCCAGTGGGGGGTGTGGAGGAGGCAGCTGTTCGATGTTTCTCTCTCATCGATGTTTCTAGCTCTCTATCCCTCTCCCTTCCTCTGTAAAAAAAAAAAAAGAAAAAAATCAATAAAAATATTTAAAAAATAAAAATCAAGTAGGAGAGATGGAGGCGATGTTGGAGGGTAAGAGGATGGTTTGTGATGAGCGGCTGCCATGAGGGCGAGATGCCCTGTGGGTCTCTGGGGTCCCACCGCCTGCGTGGCCGAGGTCCCTGGAGGAGAGGGCCGGCCAGTTTGGAGGTGGTGCCAGCTCTGTCGTCCTGTCAAGGCCCTGGCGGCTCAGCGTTGTTATGCTAAGTGGGGGCCTGAGGTCAGGGGTCGCCCAGAGTTCACTGGGGGTGATGTCCTTGGAAGCTCCCTGGAGGGCGGGAAGGGTCTGCGGCCTCCTGCCCTCCACAGCGCTGTGGGCTGGGGCTCTTCCGAGCTGACGGCGGGGCCAGCAGCGCCCAGTGCCCTCGGGGAGGAGGAAAGGCCGGGGTCACCCCAAGGTCAGCCATACCCTCCCTGGTCCCACTCCCCAGAGGCCAGCTAAAGGGAAGGGATGGCCTGGTGGGCAGCGGGCTGGGCCCTCCCTGGGTCCCGGAGGCTGGGGGGGGGCCGCCAGCCCCCAGAGTTCCAGGGAGACAGGCAGGCAGAGCCGGTGAGGGCCGTGGAGGGAGGGCCGGAGCGGAGACTTCAAAGCGCTCCCCGGACAGAACAGGCGGGGCTGAGGGCGGCCAGCGGGGCCTTTCGGAGGGGCTGGACGCTGTGCAGAGAGCACGGCCGGGTCTGGGGAGGAGGCTGAGCCCGGGGGCTGCAGCCAGCCTCAGCTCTGAGACTCGGTTTCCTCCGTTCCCCAGAGCCCCCGGCCTCCCCGCTCCCTCCCGGGGCTGGCGCGAGGGTCCGAGGGGCCGGTGTCGGTGAAGACGCAGTGCGGGCTCCGCGCCCTAATAATGTTCTTTATTATTCTGAGCTGTGTGTTGGGGGAGAGTTGGAAGGCCTGAGAGGGAGGCTGAGAGCCCCCGGGCTCCTTCCCCAATGCCGCTGTGAGAGTTCTCCGAGCAGCACGGCCGGGATGGGGCCCTGGGACGGGGCCCGGGCTGGAAGGAGCTGGGCCAGGCTTTCTGCACGGACCTGGAGCAGCGGGGAGGGGGGGGGATGGCGGGAGCCCAGCGGCCCCTGCTTTGCTGACTGCCCCTCCCCCTTCCCCACTGCTCTGTGTCCCCCCTCCTCCGTACCCCCGCCCCCTCCAGGGCTCTCCAGCCACGACTCCCCAGAAACCGGCCTCCTCGCCCTCCCTGGACGCGTGTCCTCTCCCAATGGGGCGGTGACAGTTTGCCTACGACCTGCTCAGAAACGTGTCACCGTCCATTTCCCTCCATGGCATCAGAGGAGGCCGCCCACGCCGCGCCCGCCCGCACGTGCAGGGGCCCGGGCGGAGCAGCTGGAGCCCGGGTTTATGAAATTACGGGGAATTCGGAGCAGCCGGCGCCGCCCGCTGTCTGGCTGCATCGCAGGGCCGGCCTCGGAGGGAGGTTTATGCCAGTGATTCGGAGGATTAGGCCTGACACCCTTCATTAGCGCTCTGACAGGAGCAGGAGAGACGGATCCTGCAGCATGGCCCGCCCCACAGGAGGGCGCTGGCTCGGGTGGGAGAAGGCAGCATGCCACCCCGAGAGCGAGAGTGGCAGGGAGAGGGCTGCAGGGCCAAGCTGCCTTTTCACGACCAAAGTGGGCGGCGAGCTGCAGCCCCCCCTCCGGGTGCAGGACTCAGTTTGCCCATCTGTAAAATGGGAGCACTGCCGGGGACCTCCCGGGTCTCTTCTGGCTCTGACAGGTGCCGTGTCCACACCGCCTGCCATCCTGAGACACAGCAGCGCCGATGCCACATCCTAGAGGGCTTGGGCTTGACAAGGTGCCCCTCCAGGAACCTGTCTCCCCGCCTCTGACCCCGTGGGGATCGGGCGACCAAGTCGAAAACGCTCAGCCTGTCCCCTTCACAGGGCATTTTACTGGGACGTCTGGTCACCTTAGTCAAGGGCATGTACCTTGGTTGCGGGCACAACCCCGGTAGGGGATGTGCAAAAGGCAGCTGATTGATGTTTCTCTCTCATCGATGTTTCTTTTTTTTTTTTTCTTCTCTTCTTTTTAAAAAATATATCTTATTGATTTTTTACAGAGAAGAAGGGAGAGAGATAGAGAGCTAGAAACGTCGATGAGAGAGAAACATCGACCAGCTGCCTCTTGCACACCCCCTACCGGGGATGTGCCCACAACCAATGTACATGCCCTTGCCTGGAATCGAACCTGGGACCTTTCAGTCCGCAGGCCGACGCTCTACCACTGAGCCGAACCGGTTTCGGCTCATCGATGTTTCTAACTATCCCTTTCTCTCCCTTCCTCTCTGAAAGAAATCAATAAACTATATTTAATATATATATATATCAGTAAGTGGTATTGCTGTCCCTGCTTCCTGCGGGTGACCGTGGGCCAGTCCGTCGCTCTCTCCTTCTTTGTAAAGTCGGGGGAAGGGGGGATGAGACAACTGGAAAGTGCCTGGCGCCCGCCCCCCCTTCTCCCATAGAGCTCTGGAACGCAGCCATCGCACCCTCGCAAGGGCTGCCCGGCCGCCCGGCGCCCCGGACGCCCCCGCAGGCTTTCCTGCAGCCAGAAGCATGTCGGCGGAGCGCGGGAATGTGATACCCCGGCCGCCGCAGCCGGAGCGTGGCTGGTATGTGCGTCTGGAATGATTCGGGGGAAATTCACCGAAGTTGGAACTTGAGACCAAGCTGCCTGGGATAGAAAGACAGGGAACTGTCGGTGCACACCCCCCGCCCCCCCCAGAGGGACCGGTGCTGGGGCGGGAGTCTGCTTACACTGCAGGGCCGTGCAGGCCCACCCTCGCGCGGCCTGAACTTGTTGTTTTTCCACGTCATTTGCTCTCAGATGTGCTGTCGGGCCGGGCAATGCAAACCCTGCGGCTGCAGGTCCCTCCTCGTAACAAGCGACTGTGTGTTCCTCAGAGGTGGCCCGGGAGGAGGGGACCAGGGAGGAGGGAGCCTGGAAGGGGGGGGGGGGCGGGGAGAAGGGGGCCGGGGAGGAGGGGGCCGGGAAGGAGGGAGCCTGGGAGGGGGGGCTGGGGAGAAGGGAGCCCGGGAGGAGGGGGCCGGGGGGGCGGGGAGGGGGGGCCCGGGAGGAGGGGGCTGGGGAGGGGGGCCGGAGAGGGGGGTCGGGAGGAGGGGACCGGGGAGGAGGGGGCCGTGGAGGGGGGGGCCAGGGGGGGGGCCTGGGAGGAGGGGGCCGGGGAGGGGGGGCCGGGGAGGAGGGAGCCTGGGAGGAGGGGGCCGGAGAGGGGGGACTGGAGAGGGGGGGTCGGGAGGAGGGGGCCGGGGAGGAGGGGGCCGGGGAGGGGGGGGCCAGAGAGGGGGGGCCAGAGAGGGGGGGTCGGGAGGAGGGGACCGGGGAGGAGGGGACCGGGGAGGAGGGAGCCTGGGAGGAGGGGGCCGGAGAGGGGGGGCTGGAGAGGGGGGGTCGGGAGGAGGGGACCGGGGAGGAGGGGGCCGGGGAGGGGGGGCTGGGGGAGCAGGGGAGAGGGGAGCACGCCGCTCCTGCCCAGTGAGCCTGCGTGTCCCGGAGCCAGCTCCCCCAGCACATGGAAGGGTTAAGGCCTCCCGGAGTCAAAAACAAGCAGGTGTCCCACCGTGCCAGATACGCCGCCAAACTGCTTCCAGCTTTCCCCTCCTGCAGCACGTCTGTGATCCGCGGGCCGGGGCACCGCGGCCGCCCGCCCTCCGGCCGGGACAGGCGGCTCGCTCGCTCGCTCCCACGCGGGGGGCGCCCGGACGGACGGAGATCCCGCCGGCGGCCCCTGCCGGGCTCCCCTCCCGCTGACTCGGGAGAAGAGGGGGTTCCTGCAAAGACCTTTCTCTCCTCTGAAGCCGCACAACTCCGCGGGCTCCGCCGCAGCCTGCCCGGCCGCAGGGACGCCGGCCGGGGCGGGGGCGAGGGCAGGTGTCCGCGGCCCCGAGGGAGAGGGCGCGGTGGGTGCGGCCCCTGGCGGCGTCCCGGGGAGGCCTCTGGCCGCCGAGGACCGCGCCATGTGGGCCCCGGGAGGCCCCGGGTGCTGCTCCCGCTGGGGGTGGGTGGCCGTGCCTCTGCTGCTGCTGCTGCTGCTGCTCGGGGCGCCCCCGAGGGGCCTGGCGCTGCCCCCCATCCGCTACTCCCACGCGGGCATCTGCCCCAACGACATGAACCCCAACCTCTGGGTGGACGCCCAGAGCACCTGCAAGCGGGAGTGTGAGGCGGACCAGGTGAGTGGGGCTCCGGGCGCGGAGGGCCTCGCAGGTGTGTGTGTGTGTGTGTGGGGGGAGGGCGGGAGCCCAGGGTGGGGACGGCGCAGGCGTGGGTGCCCTGCAGGGCCCAGGCTGATAAACAGGGTGTGTGTCTGTCTAACGCTGAGGCCCAGCAGGAGAAGTGATTGTGATGTCCAAGTTCACCAGGGACCGAGAGCCCTGGGGTTCCTGGTCTCCTGTTTGCCAGGGCGGCTCTGAGCCAGGGCCATGCCAGGCGCAGGTGCCAGCAGCCCATGGGCAGGTGAGAGCAGACACTCGGGACAGTGCCCTGAGCAGGGAGGGGCTTGGGACCCCGCTCCATCTGGCAACAGAGCAGAGGCTGCATCCGGCCCCCAGACCACATCCCGGGGCTCGGACCCGGGTTCAGAGAGAGACAGCTGACAAGGAGGTGGACGGCTCAGCCCCGAGCAGGCTCCGGGAGGAGGCAGACTCGGCTCCGTCCGCCAGATCGCTGGGTCCCCCCTTCTGCTCTCAGCAGGGCGCCCCGCCGTGCAGGGCAGGCCTCTCCCAGCTCCTGAGTGCAAGGGTCACGCCTGCCACGTCCCTGGAGTCACGGGCCTGCTGGGACCTGGCACCTGCCTGGCAGAGGCACTTCCTGCCGGCCTGGTGGGCTCCTGGGGCTCAGGCCTGGGCATCACCAGGGAACATGAGACCCTGGTGCTCCCTTTGCCAAACGCCTGTCACCCACGGGCGAGCACAGGGCCGCCTGGAGAGGGGGCTCGGCCTCGGTGCCTGCAGGGGCCGGGGGGTGAAGGGGGATTGAGGGGGAGACGATTCTCAGGCTTCTCCTGCCGATGCTGCCCGAGCAGTGGCGGAGCGGAGGGAAAGGGGGGTCAGGAGGGTGGGAGGGCCAGAGCGGTCCCATCTCGATGGGGCCACCCCCTCAGTTGGCCCCATTTGCAGGGAAGCCTGTGTCACACTTGGACTGGCCTGACCGTGGGTGGGGCTCGGGGACAGGGAAGCAGACACCCGTGTGGCTGGAGCCTCGGGCGGCTGTGGGTCTACTCTGGCCCCTAAGGAAAAGCGTTCTAAGGGAGGGTCCCCTCCAGGCTCCTCCCGCCCAAAGCACCCTTCCCAGGTGCCCGGGGACCCGCCTGTCAGGGATCCGAGTCCCTCGGGGAATGGAAGGACGCTCTGGCTGGGGGGGGGCTGGTTCTCTGTGCTCAACCCCCCAGCGGGCCTTTCTCCCCGGGACCCCGGCTCCGAGGTCCGCCCGTCCCTGTCCCCAGGCCTCCCCCGCATAGCCTGAAGCCCATGCCAAGCGAGGGCTGCGGAACAAAGTGCCCTTCTGAGCCGAGAGGGGAAAACTGTAAACAAGCCGGTGGCAGCCTCCGGCCACGGCCACGGCCACGGCCACGGCCACGGCCACGGCCACGGCCACGGCCCCCTCTTAGCTGATGCGGAATGTCCGAGGCTGGAAGGACCCGGAGAGGCCAGCCCTCGTGGGGAGCAGCTCACAGGGCTGCCACGGGGCGGAGGCTGGGAGCGGTGCCCGCCGCCCAGGGGGTACGAGGTGTGATTGTCGGAAACACCACGTGAAAGCGTTTGTTTGTGTCGGCGCCGAGCATGCTGCACATTTCTAGGAATTAAACCAGGAATTAGGGCCTAAGGCGGCTCCACAGAGACGCAGAGGGGATTAGCCGTGTAAGTCCCCCGGCGGCCGTGCTGGCCTTTGCCGCCCGGTGAGCTGTCCCTCTTGTTAATTCCCCACGAAATGTCCCCCGCGGTGGGCGTGGGCACGGGGTCTGGCCTAGCCCGTGGCGGCCGAGCTGGCGTCCTGGGCCTGTCCGCCCGCCTGCCCGGCCGGCCTTCCTCTCGTCTCCTGGCGGACGGGGCCTCTCCTCGGAGCCGCTGCTCCCCCTGAGGCGTGTGCAGCCGGCCTCGAACCTCGGTCCCCTCCCTTCTGGGCGTTCGGGGTGGCCTCTCCCATGCGGCCAGGGCTCCCTGACCCCAAAGGGGAAAGAAGACAACGAGGTGTGTGTTCCCACCTAGACCTCAGCCGCGGTCACTCGGTGACACGTGTGACGTGAAGACAGAACCCCACTTCGGAATCCACCCCGGGAGCCGGCCCCCTTTCCCAGCAGCACCCTGTGCACACGGCACTGCGGCTCCGAGGCCGTGCATGCTCCTCCGTCCACCGGCCTCTTCCCACACGACCTGCCGTGCGACCTTGGGCGGGTCACCTGACCTCGCTGTGCCTCGGGGACCTTCCCCTGTGAAGTGGGGATAATGGCACCCACCCCACAGGCTGGAGAAGAGCACGGACTAAGTTGACCCAGGCAAACGCTCTTAGCCTGGCAAATACACAGCAAGTGCTCTGAGCACCTCAGCTGTCACCATCAGGACGGAGCGCACACAGTGCCCGGCTGCTGTGGCTCTGCTGGCTAAGTGTTGTCCCAGGAACCAAGAGCCCCACGATTCTATTCCCCGTCAGGGCACATGCCTGGGTTTTGGGCTTGATCCCCAGGAGGGGGCATACAGGAGGCAGCCACTGATGTTTCTGTCTCTTTCCCTCTCCTTTCCTCTCTCTCTGAGAAAAATCAATAAAGACATATTTTTTTAAACATAAGAGCCCTAACCAGTTTGCTCAGTGGATAGAGCACCAGCCGGCAGATTCCAGGTTTGATTCCGATCAAGGGCACGTTCCTTGGTTGTGGGCTCTATCCCCAGTAGGGAGCATGCAGGAAGCAGCTGATCAATGTTCCTCTCTCATCGATGTTTCTAACTCTCTATCCCTCTCCCTTCCTCTCTGCGAAAATCAATAAAATATATTTAAAAAAAAAATAAGAAAGATGAGAAGCCCTAACCGGTTTGGCTCAGTGGATAGAGCATCGGCCTGCGGACTCGAGGGTCCCAGGTTTGATTCCGGTCAAGGGTATTGGTTGTGGGTACATCCCCATTAGGGGGTGTGCAGGAGGCAACTGATGGATGTTTTTCTCTCATCGATGTTTCTAACTATCCTTCTCCCTTCCTCTCTGTAAAAAAATCAATTAAAAAAAAACATATATATATTATAGAAGAAAGATGAGCACTTACCTACTAGTTCTCTCTGCAGACACCGCGGGGCAGGGCGGGGCGGGGCGGGGACCCGGTCCCCTCTGCCCGCCGGCCCCTCAGGCCTCTCGCTCTGGCTCTCCCCAGGAGTGTGAGACCTACGAGAAGTGCTGTCCCAACGTGTGTGGCACCAGGAGCTGCGTGGCGGCCCGCTACCTGGACGTGAAGGGGAAGCGGGGCCCGGTGGGCATGCCCACGGAGGCCACGTGCGACCACTTCATGTGCCTGCAGCAGGGCTCCGAGTGCGACATCTGGGACGGCCAGCCCGTGTGCAAGTGCAGGGACCGCTGCGAGAAGGAGCCCAGCTTCACCTGCGCCTCCGACGGCCTCACCTACTACAACCGCTGCTACCTGGACGCCGAGGCCTGCTCCCGCGGCACCACGCTGGCCGTGGTCGCCTGCCGCTACCACTTCGCCTGGCCCAGCACCAGCCCGCCGCCGCCGCCCGGCACCACCGCGCGGCCCACCACCGCCGCCCCCGAGACCCCCGGCTGGGCCGCGGCCGCCCCCGCGCTGCTCAGCCGCCCCGCGCCGCAGGCGGTGACCGTGGGCGAGACCGTGAGCTTCCTCTGCGACGTGGCGGGCCGGCCGCGGCCCGCCGTGACCTGGGAGAAGCAGCTGGAGGACCGGGAGAACGTGGTCATGGGGCCCAACCACGTGCGGGGCAACGTGGTGGTCACCAACATCGCCCAGCTGGTCATCTACAACGCCCAGCCGCAGGACGCCGGCATCTACACCTGCACCGCCCGCAACGCCGCCGGCGTCCTGCGCGCCGACTTCCCGCTGTCCGTGGTGCGGGCGGGCCAGGCGGCGGCGGCGGCGGCGGCGGCGGCGGCGGCCACGGCCGAGAGCGGCGGCCCCAACGGCACGGCCTTCCCCGCGGCCGAGTGCCTGCAGCCCCCCGACGGCGAGGGCGAGGGCGAGGGCGAGGGCGAGGGCGAGGACTGCGGCGGCGAGGAGCAGACCCGCTGGCACTTCGACGCCCAGGCCAACAACTGCCTCACCTTCACCTCCGGCCCCTGCCAGCGCAACCGCAACCGCTTCGAGACCTATGAGGCCTGCGTGCGGGCCTGCGTGCGGGCCCCGCTGGCCGCCTGCAGCCTGCCCGCCCTGCAGGGGCCCTGCAAGGCCTACGCCCCGCGCTGGGCCTACAACCGCCAGGCCGGCCAGTGCCAGTCCTTCGTCTACGGCGGCTGCGAGGGCAACGGCAACAACTTCGAGAGCCGCGAGGCCTGCGAGGAGTCCTGCCCCTTCCCCTGGGGCAGCCAGCGCTGCCAGGCCTGCCGGCCCCGGCAGAAGCTCGTGACCAGCTTCTGCCGCAGCGACTTCGTCATCCTGGGCCGCGTGTCCGAGCTGACCGAGGAGCCGGACGCCGGCCGCGCCCTGGTCACCGTGGACGAGGTCCTCAAGGACGAGAAGATGGGCCTCAAGTTCCTGGGCCAGGAGCCGCTGGAGGTCACCCTGCTGCACGTGGACTGGACCTGCCCCTGCCCCAACGTGATGGCGGGCGAGACGCCGCTCATCGTCATGGGGCAGGTGGAGGGCGGCGTGGCCACGCTGCGGCCCGGCAGCTTCGTGGGCGCCTCCAGCGGCCGGCGGGTCCGGAAGCTGCGCGAGGTCCTGCACAAGAAGACCTGCGAGGTCCTCAAGGAGCTCCTGGGCTCGCGCTGAGCCCCCCCCCCCTTCCCGCCCTCTCCCCACAACACCCACCTACCCCGACGCCCCTCAGTCAGCAAACTGGGCAAGGTCAGACGGGACATCAGTCAGAACAGAGCCACCGGAGGGTCTTAGATCAGCTTCTAGTCCGCGGGTTCAGTAAGGGGTTCCGATCCTTTCTAGCTTAGGGGGACAGAGGAGGAGGCAGTGGACACTTGTAAATTATTCCTGACGACCAATCGCCTTGGGCCACGTTGCCCTCTCGGTGCTGGCCATCCCCCTCCTCCAAGCGGCTGCCCTCCCCTTCCTCCCCCCAGCCTCCCACCCACCTGGGCTCTAGAGATGGTGGCTGCCTGGTGGTCACGGGAATCATGGAATGAGTGGGTTTACAAAAGGGGTGGGGGTGGGGGGGGTGAAGAGAGAAAGGAGGGCCCAGGGACTCATGGGACACATTCCCCAACGGCCCCCTCGACCAGGATGAGCAGAGACCACGTCATGGTGGGGGTCTTGGGAAGCACACACCTCCCCTGGGTGGAGGCTGCTCGGCAGGCGCCCTTGGATGCTGGTCAGCCTGCGGTCTCTCAGGCCGCCAGCAGAGAACACAGGTTTCTCGTGTTTCATCCCCTTGGCTTTATTGATTGGTTATGGATGGTTGATTTATTAATCCAGTTCTGTTCAGACAGACATTTTCTGAATATTTATACTGGGCGCCAGGTGCTAGGACCACAGAGGACTCACAGTGACTGAACGCAGGGTCCGGGTCCAGGGGGTCCCGCCAGCAGCTGATCCACGGCTGGTCCACCCGAGGTCCAAGGGTCCCGTTGGACAGGGTGCTTTCATCTGCCACTGGCTTCCTTGGGACAGAGCAGTAGGAACCCCAGGATCTGTTTTGGTAGGAGGGGAAATGAAGGAACAGGAGAAGCAGGCAGGGGAGGGGGCTGGTGAAGGAATGAGGAGGGAGGAGGGAGGCGGGCTGGGGAGGGGAAGGAATGCTGCTCAATGCTCCCACCTGGTGGTGGCCTTGGGAGCTGCAGGGCCTGGCGGGAGGCTCTAGGTGAGGCCTGGGATGGCAGGTTTGGAGACCTGGCAGCTTGCTGGCGATTTTGTCTCTGAACTTCCTGGGCAGGTCCAGCCACCCACCACTACATGAAGGATTCTGGGAAACCCACTGTCAGTTCTCCCGCTGCCCCCCAGGCCCTCCTCGGCCCTCCGTTCTGCACAGGCCCCTCCGAAACTGGTGACGCTCATGGTGGGACCTCCCTGTCTTCCTCAGATGTAGGAGGAAGATGCCCATTAAAAGCTCATAGTATGAACAGCAGCCTTCTTGTGTGGGTCATTGGAGCTAATGTGCGCGTGAGGGCGGGCGGTGTCATTTGCTCAGGGGCCGTGCTGGAGGGATCTGGCCCGCGGGACCATCCCCGGGCGATGGAGAGACCAGCCAACATCAGGCCCATCTTGCAGCTCCGAGGCTCCTTCGCTGCAGCGCTCACGGAGCTTTCCGGAGACCTCAGAGGCAGGAAGGTGTGGGGCTTCAGCCCACATGCTCTGGTTTGTATCTCAGTCCCTCGCCTCATGACAGCCTGGTGGGCCAGAGGCGGGTGGAGGGAAAGAAATGGGGGGCGGGGGGAGGGCAGGCCACCCAGCTGTGACTCCCCAGGGGACCTCCTGGGGAGGCTCGGTCCCAACGCCCTAGTGTGCGCAGAGCATGCGGCTCAGGTCCGAGGAAGGAGACAGCAGCACCTTTGGTCTCGGCGGCTCATGGCTGCTCCCTTGCCCTGAAGGTGTGTTCAGGAGCCTGCAGCAGGGCGCCCCACAGCGTGTCCGTCCCCCGGGCTGGGAGCCAGCAGCCCCCCCCCCCTTCACAGGCCCGAGGAGGAATCCGGCTCCGCCCAGCCAGCGCAGCCCAGCCCTCCCGAGGTAACTCCCTGCAGCAGGGGCCAGGACAGAGATGAGCTGCTGCCCAGGAGAGGAGAGGCCAGAGGAACGGAGCCGCTCACGGTGCCACTGGGAAAACCCCGAGCACAAAACGTAGCCGCCAAGAACGTGTGAGCCCCAGCTGGTGTGGCTCAATGGATAGGACACTGGCCAGGGACCGAAGGGTCCTGGGTTTGATTCTGGTCAAGGGCATGTACCTCAGGCCACAGGCTTCATCCCTGGCTCTGGTCAGGGCAGGTGTGGGAGGCGACCAATCAATGTGTCTCTCTCACATGGATGTTTCTCTCTCTCTCTCTCCCTCCCTTTCATGCTGTCTAAAAATCAATTAAAAAAATATCCTTGGGTGAGAATTAGAAAAAAAAAAGGGGGGGAAGGAGGGGGTGAGCACCAGCCATAGGCCCCTCTCTGTTTAGCCTAGAGCAGTGGTTGGCAAACTGTGGCTCGAGAGCCACACGCGGCTCTTTGGCCCCTTGAGTGTGGCTCGGTGTTGGAACTACTTCAAAATAGACTCGCCCAGGCCAAAAAACGACTTCCGTCCATGGGCCACGAAGTTTCAATCACACTGTATGCGCGCCCGCACGTGGTGTTTTGTGGAAGAGCCACACGCAAGGGGCCAAAGAGCCGCATGTAGCTCTCGAGACGTGGTTTGCCGACCACGGGCCTAGAGAGAGGGGACTGTGTGCCTCACTCGCCCTCAGAGACGGGGAGACATTCTGCTGCTCATGAATAGCACCGGACCTTAAAGCCGAAGGGGTCACTGCCGACAGGCCAGCACCTGTCACCCCACCCCCACCCCCACCCACACACTCGCACAGTGATGGGGGCTGAGCCTGTGGCCACCTGGAGGAGATGTGAGGTTCAGGGGAGTCCCATCGCAGGGCTGCCTCTGGCCAGCTCACTGCCCACCCGCTGCCCCACACGTGGGGTCCCTGCCCTTCTCCAACACCGGCCTGGCAGAGTGAGAGAGCCCAGCCCGTGCGGTCAGACCCCCTCCGTCAGCATCTGGGCTCTGACACGTGTCCTCTCTCCCTGAGCCTCAGCTTCCTGGCCTGTACCCAGAGGGGAGTCAGAGCTCCTTCTAGACTCGGCCCTTTTAATCCTGTCGAACGGGAAAGCTGAGGGCACGGAGCCTGGCACCGAGGGCCGCCCTGGCCCTCCGAAGCTCCCGGGCCAAGAGCAATGGCCCAGGGCCCCCGCCTCCCCTCTTCCTTCTGGGCTCGGGATCCACGGGTTCAATACCTCAGCCTGCTGTTCACAGGGGACACCCACACGGACCAGCCCACCTGGGCTGAGCTGGGATTCAGAGAACATGGTCCCGGAGGGACGGGCAGGTTTAGGACCGACTGTAACTCAGGACACACTGCCTGGCATTGATTTTCTGCCCTTGAAACCGCGCCTGAGTCTCTGTCCTCTGTCGGAGGCCTCACTCAGGGACAGGCAGCTAGTAGGTGTTCAGTGACACATGGGGATGGAGCCCTCCTTCAGGTCCGAGGCCAGATCACCTGCTTTCCTGTCTACCTGGGGCCCGTACTCCTCCCCGCCCCTTGCACCTGTGGTCCCCCCTGCCCCTCCCCGCCCTGGGTCAGGCCCTCTCTCTGTTTGCCTCTCAGAGGCCTGCTCTGGCGCCGCCGTCTCCAGACCGGCCCCACGGCCACTGGGGCAGGACAGCGTGGCTTTTTCCACCCTCATTCTCCCCAGCCTCCCAGGACACTCTGTTCCATTGTCTGGCCAGCTGCTCCATGCCCTGATGTCACCCCCCGGACAGTGGGGCCAGGGAGCGGGGACCAGGGCGGAACCCGGGGAGGGACAGAGTGAAGGCACAGCCACATGGTGACTTCCTCAGCCGGGGAGGACGCCCTGTGTCCAGCTGCCTGTTTTAGCATCACCATGGAGCGGGCACTCGCTGTGCGACAGGACTGGACATCATGTCTGGCCATCTCCATCACAACGTCAGGCAGGGTGCCGTTACGCTTTTTTAAAAAAATATATATTTTATTGATTTTTTTTTTTTACAGAGAGGAAGGGAAAGAGATAGAGAGTTAGAGACATGGAGAAGAAACATCGATCAGCTGCCTCCTACACATCCCTTCCCTTCCCAAATGCCCCTCCCCCCCCCCCCCCCCCCCCCCGGGGATGTGCCCGAAACCAAAGTGCATGCCTTTGACCGGAATTGAACCTGGGACCCTTCAGTCTGCAGGCCAACACTCTATCCATTGAGCCAGACCGGTTTTGGCATAGGGTGCCATTTTGTAGGTGGGGAAACTGGAGGATAAGAAACTTGCCCAAGATCGCCCAGCTGCTAAGGGGCAGAGCCACGGCCATAAACTAGGCGGACTGACTTCAGAGTTCTGAATGCTCACGTTAGGATATTTCTCCCAGTCTCCTCTTCTCCTCCACCCCCCTTCCTCTCTCTCTCTCTCTCTCTCTCTCTCTCTCTCTCACACACACACACACACACACACACACACACACACACACACACACATGGGGCCGGGCAGTGTAGAATCCCATCGGGCCCAAAGGTCGCCGAAGAGCCCGCCCCTGGCAGCCGCACACTCAGCACCCAGGCTGCCTGACGACCTTGCCATGTGACGCGGCATTTCTCTCACACGCACAAGCCCTCGCGCCCTAGATTCCTGAGCAAAACATCAGCCTATGCCGATTCACCCTCCAGACAGCTCCCCGGGAAGCCTCGCGGCGCCCCGGCTCTGTAAACACGCGCCCACAGTCTGTTCTCCTCTGTGTCTGCCCGGACCCCGAGCCAGCATCTCTGTGTCGGGGCTGGTGGGGGGGGGGAGGTGTAGATTCGGTGAAGGGGCGTCTCTGGGGTCCCCTCCTTTTCCAGGCTCCGCTTCCTGATTCCGGCTCCTCCTCCTCCCTCCTCCCCGAGGAGTCCCATCCTCCCGGGGTGCGTGATCAGTGCAGGCGGGATAGGTGGCAGGCTCCTGGGTGCTATTTTTGGCGGTGGCCTCATTCTGGAATGTGCCCCAAGGTCAAGTGACACTCCTCTCTGGGCTGCGTCAGGAGGAAGAAGAACCCTGGCTGGCACCTCCTGAGGGCGAGGGCCGGGCAGGCAGGTG